GTGTGTGTGTGTGTGTGTGTGTGTGTGCTTTAAATAAAATTCTCCTTTTTGAATTATATTGGTGCACTTTAAGTGTATTTATTTATTTATTAGTCAATTTATATATTTCCGCTTTTATTTTTAATTATGTCAGTTTCGGTTCTCCGTACTGCAGAAGCCTGATAATCACCCATTCATTCAAATCAGGTGTGTTTGAGCAGAGAAAAAATAAAACATGCAGGGCTGCGGCCCTGGAGGACCAGGATTGCCCACCCCTGCTGTAGCTGTAATCACTGAATGTGCAGCTAAATGTGCTAAATTGAGCTTAATGTGGTGTAGTAGTGAGAGTCATCCTCAACACATTCTGAATGCTAACACATTTCACAAGATCTGGAATTATCAGACCGTGATCATTTACAAGGTTTCACCAAAAGAGCTATAACTCCGCCCCCTTTCACTAGATGTTTTATTTGAAATCTCTGGCATGAGAGGAAGTGGGCAAAACACATTCCTTCAAGGATTGTTAGGCTATAAAGGGGCGGTATTATAAAAAATGAACTTTTTTGAGCTTTATATCACGTTATAATGTCATTCCCTCATCAAACACGAACTCAGTGTTGCTTTGACTCAAATCCTTGAATCTCCAGTGGTAGCCATGTGGAACTGCCTAAACACTTGCTGGTACAAAGCACCGCCTATTTGTGCAAAGCTCCTCCCCAGAGCCCCCCTCCCCCGAAGTGGCAGAAATGGTAGGAGGTTCTTAAAGAGACAGAGACCAATTTCAAGGAGTTTATGTAGGCTATGATGCAAAGTCAGTTTTATTTTTGATATAAATTTTCCTAACAACTGAAGGCAATGTAGTTCATTGATTGTGATACAGAACTGAACTCTGTGCTTGAAAAATACATGCTAACCCCCTTTAAATAATTATTATTATTTAGTGTGACTCCTGCTCTCTCCTTCCTTGAGTACTGTGTACTTCTTCCAGTAGGATAAAGCCACTTCAGAAGGTGCAGGGGGTTGCCAATGGGACAGCAGGTGGGACAGGTCAGCAACAGGTGGCAGCACTCGGTGATATTTCAGCCCAGGTTCACCAGTATCAACAGTTCCTGGGTGAGACACGTTCTCCTGCAAAAGACAAGTCTGTTATTACAGGATTTTATTTAGTTCTGTTTTATTTGTAAAACTGAACAAGTTTGTGAATTTAAGCCAACGTTAAACGTACACACAAAGCTTTGTTTTATGTTTTAATGATGAGATGTCCGTGAAACAGTCGTGACATTTTTTGACTTTCGTCATCTGCAGAGGCATCGAAGCTTTTGCCAAACTTTGTAGAAATGGATCTACAAGGTCAAACCCTGCCTGATGGGATCCTTTTAGAACACCTCAAGGCCTTTCAGAACCTGTACAGAGAACACTGTGAGGTAGGCAGCTGACAGGGCTGTCACAGCATTTACCTTTGCAGACAGCAGTGTAGGATTGTTGACTACAGCAAAGATACTAGTTCTTTGTACTATTCTAAAATAAAGTCATTTAAAAATCAGAAAAGGACGTTTTCGATGTCATGTGAGACCTTTTTTCTCACAGGCTGTTCTGGACGTGATGGTCAACCTCCAGTTCACTCTGGTCGAGGCGCTTTGGAAATCCTTCTGGAGGTTCAGTCAGAGCAACGACGCAGAGTCAGTCAACCTGTAAGTATCTAAAACACACTGGCGCATCATGAATACGGTTTTATGTTCATATGTAATCTCATTTATCAAAGAAAAACCATCTGTGTAACAACTGCCTCGTGCTCCATCAGAAACAACGAATCGGAGAAACGTCTGCCCAAATCCTGCCTGGTGGCTCTCTGCAAGTCTGAACCAGTCCTAAGCTGGACGAGAGAGTGCGACAACCTGCTGTACCAGACTCTGGTGGAAATCCTCATCCCAGACGTGCTCAGACCCATCCCTAGTAAGGCCCTGCGACAGTTCTGTCAACGGTTTCTGAAACCTGCAACTCAGAGCGAATACACCTTCATGTCAGAAGTAAACTGATATTTGTTGAACAGTTTACCTCATCCATGTTGATGTGGAAGAAATGTGTTTTTGCACAGCTGTAAAATGTAGTGTTAAAGTTGAGAAACAGGTTTAGGTAATGAGAACCAAAAAAATCCATGTTAAATTCAAACCTCTAATGTAATGTAAAATACATTTATAGTATGAAGTGCTCCTCTTCATAATAAAATGTTCAGGGTTTTTACATCACCTTAATGTTTTTACTTCTTTTTGTCTCCATAACAAACCTCCCATCTCCAGGTGCCTTAACTCAGGCCATCCGTAATTTTGCCAAGAGTCTGGAGAACTGGTTGACCGGCGCCATGATCAACATCCCAGAGGAGATGGTTCGCATTAAGGTATTTTTATAAACAAAGAACAAGTGACATAAGAAGTCTTAATCCACATTTTAAACATCCTGTTTCATATCTTAATTTAAAACTAGTCAAAATAAAGTTTCATTATACAGGGTTTCTAGTCTTTAAATGTCATAAATAATATTAAACTCTGTCATTTTATTTTTAGGCTTAAATGTGTCCAGATTTTCCATTTTAGTTCCTAAAATACATTTAGTTACAAATTCATTTTATGTTTGTTCATTCATTGGGCCTCATGCAAGAACCGTTCGTACGCACAGATTTGTTCTTAA